AGCTATTTTCCCCCAAGCTAACTCTCTCTCTTTCGCCGCTGCAACCGTGTTGCTTCTCTTACGGAATATGGGCTCGTAGTCACTATATGCTTGTAGTAGCACATCCATTTCTGTCGGGGAAAAACGCAGACCTATTTTGGCTTGGTCCTGTTGCCATGGTGACTCGTAATTTCTTCACTCCATTGTTCAGGGCTTTTTATAGTCGCGTGGCACGCGCCTAACTCTGAGTCAGACAACTCAGAGTTGATTAAACCAACTCTTTTCAGCTGTTCTGAAACCGAAAACTCCAAGTTTGCCAACTCTGAGTAAGTCAACTCAGAGTTCAGGTTTGAACTCTGAGTTTGTTAAACCTCCTTCTTGAAACGGGCCCCAGATGAATCAGATCAGTTGGTCAAACTTTGAGCATGACTCGTAATTTCTTACTTCTAAACTCTGACAAAACCTAAGTTATTGTCCTTGGGCCTGAAAACCTTAGAAATCTGCTGTCTAACCATATAGTTACTCTAGATGACATAGCTCTTGCCTCCAGTACTGCTGTGAGGATCCTTGTAGTCATTTTTGACCAGGATATGTTCTTTAAATCACACATAAACCAAGACTCTAGAACTGCCTTCTTTCACCTGTGTAATATTGCAAAAATCGGGAGCATCCTCTCTCAAAGTGATGCTGAAAAACCAGTCCATTTATCTGTTACTTCCAGGCTGGACTACTCTAACTCTTTACTATCAGGATGAACCAATAATTCCATAAAAAGCCTCCAGTTAATCCAAAATGCTGCAGCCAGAGTAGTGACAGGAACTAGCAAGAGGAGCGGGGGGGCATAAGTCATGTCTATGTTGCTCTTTTAACTTGTATGTTTTTGTATTTATTTTTTTATGTTGTACACATCAGGGGCCATTGAGCTGGAGTCAGATTCCTTGTATTTTTCAAATACTTGGCAATAAAGTTTATGCTTATTTTACCATTGAACATTTCTTAAAAACGGTGTTGAAATATTCTGTTCTCATGAACCCAGTATCATGTATCATCACACCCCTCCCCTACTGCTTACAGCTGCTTTTATCATTGGATTCCTTTGTTAGCAGCAAAAACTGCAATGAACTTGCACAAAATGACTTATGTTTTCAAAATACCTAGAAACTATTTTTATGTTAGCTGATACAGGTGACAAATCAAAGTAGACACCAACATAAAGTCTCTTAGTAAGGTGCTGGGCCATGACATGCCACCAAAACAGCTTCAATGCACCTTGGTAACAATACTCCAAGTCTCTGAACTCTACTGGAGGGATGAACACCATTCTTTCAAAAGATATTCCCTCATTTGGTGTTTTGATGATGATGGCAGAGAGCAATATGTAACATGTCGGTCTAAAATCTCCCATAGCTGTTCAACTGGGTTGAGATCTGGTGATTGTGAAAGCCATAGCATACGATTCATATGCTCATTTCTACTCTCATCAAACCATTTAGTGACCCCTCATGCCCTGTGGACGGGGGCACTGTCATCCTGGAAGAGACCACACATTTATTTAGGTTTTTTTCCTTTGTCACCCATCTATATGCGGTGAATGTTTGTCTCTGAAGCAAAGACAAAGACTAAGTATTACAGCGAATGCAATACATTTGTTGCTAGTTACACATGCTGCCTTATTCTTGCAGTATGTTCGCAGGTCAAAATCCAGCTCAGGACTGACCTACTGCTTTAGTTTTTTTTTTTTTTTTGACATGTGAACAAGCAGAAACATGTGAGCTACAGGGGCTTGCTAAAACCCATAATCATTGCTAGTTTATTTTACAGTAAAATATTTAATGGCCTGCCCCTTTATTAAACATTAGATGTCAACCATTCATGTCTACACGCTGTTCGCTGGCTAAAGCTACAAAACAATGACAAGTTAAGCAGAGTGAAACTTCAGTGATTTACAGTATACAGGAATTTAAAAAAATTCGACCTTTAACCTTCCTTTCCTACACAATTTAAAATCACAGTTATGTTATAAAGCCAGAAAAAGACAAATATAAAGGTAACGTTAAACAAGACAAGTGAACGCATGCTAGTTCTAGTAACTCACTTTCCACTTGAGCTTGAATTTGATACATCGGGGAAAGCAGCAGCAGCACCAAGCACCAACCGCGACGAGACATTTTCCTCGGTTTCGTTAACAAAACGCTTCTATCTGTCGGTCAGAAATATCATGGATAACCTCGCAGTCTTTTGTGGTTGGGTAGCACCAGCCTTTGCAAAAGCAACATGCTCAATTGAACTTTAATGTCTTACAAAACAGCCTTTCACCTCTCTGCAGACCGTGGCTCTGATGGCTGTAGCGCGCTTCCGCTAAAATCGTGTCCTCGATCCCGCGATAGTTCTCCCCGCCCTCTCCAAAGATCGTTAGTGAACTAAAATGATTTAACCCCTTTATAGAATTTCAAGCAGCCGCTTACTTTTTAAATCGGTTGCTATTTATCTCCATTCACAATTGGTGGGGTATCTTTTAATGGCACGCCATCTATGGCGAACTCCAATGTAAACTCAACACTGGCTTTAAAATTGTAGAGCTTGGAATGGGGTTAGAATGGGAGCTCTTTACTAACTTTTATTCTAACCATAAGCAATCACAACATCACAGTCGTCAATGCTATCAATAACCGTTTTCTGTATACATTATTGTTTTTGAAGCAGTATTCTCGATTTGTATCAACTACATAAATGATCTTAAGCTATTCAAATAAACTATATGAGAGGAATGCTTTCTAACACCACTCTTCTGGCATGATGCAGCTCTGCAACAGAAGGGATAGTTGGATGTTAACTACAGAATATCCTGTGTATTGGATAGTGTTTCTATTCCTGCTTTTAAGCTGCTAGTGGTGACAATATATCACAATAACATGAGTAGTGAAAGTGAGAAGGCCACCCACAGAACCAGAAACATGGGAATTTTTTTCAGAGATATTTGAAAACAAGAATGCAGTTGTTGCAACTCTGCAGAAAGAATTTCATTTATTAATTTCTTTTAACTAAAGCCCTTCTTTTACTCATTCACACTTTAAAACCCTGCAGACACCACAGGCTCATGCATGCTGGCAAAATTAGTAAACATAACAGAAGTACCAGCAAAAAATTAGGAATATGAGACTGCATACTACTTGTGTCTGAATCATCAGATGGGGATGCAGCTCTGGACAATCATGCTGTAAATGCACCAGGAAAAGGTGATCACTGAAAAGGTAAACTGGTATGTGGCAAAAGACTGTACATACTGTACACAGTAGTAGTAACAAAGTAGGGGGGGGGGCAGTCACCCTGGGTTCTAACTCTTTCGTAAGCAGATGTCAGCACTGTTCAGCAATGACGTGCTCTCTGATGCGTCTTCTCTCTTCAGAACCAAGAAAGCCTCTCGACTGATTCCCAGCAACTCCCGAAGGCCACTGTTCTCCAGCTAAAACACAGACATAGAAGTGTACAGCAAGACACGACAGAATACCTCCACTCCTTGAAAATATAGTGACTTCTCAATGAAGAAAAAAAAAAAGTATATATTGCATGTCATTATCACAGGTGTAGTGCTATTTAATAAGGTACTGGAGCGCACCTATGATGTGCGTGCATGCACAGCTATGTTGTAGCTTGTTTTGAGGGCTTTGTAAAACACATTTCCTAGGGTGGCAACTGTAATTGCCCACACGATCAAATATTAGACTGACTTTATTCTTTGGTGTAGCAGAATAACAATATGAATTAGCAGCCATTTTTCACAGGGTGAATGTTATAGCAATATATAATCTCCCCAAAATTTGAAAAACGTAAATTTATCTCCACAGTATTTGTCATGACCAGTCATCAAATGCCTCCAAATCTATAAGAAAATAGGTGATCTCCACTCAAGTGTTAAACCAAGTCCAAAATGTACTGAATGTTCAGTGAATTCCTCCCGCTTCATGCTGGTTTACATGTCAATCAGCAACAGTGAACACATCAGCTGTGTATGGGGCTTGCAATTGGCCAGCATATGCCAACGTTTGGCCATCCTGTGCCCTGCAGGCCTACAAAAGATCACTCACCAGTACACAGGTAAAACACTATTTAAATCCCAGCATCATGCAAGTTAAATGTAAAGTCTGTTTCTGCTGCATCTGATGTTTGTCTCCATGACCCCTCCCAGACATTACGCTCTAGTTTGCCACTCGGGATGATCCGAATTTCATTCTACCACTTGTCTTTTGAAAATGAAGTTTGTATTCAACACTCAACTGTGTCACTGTGAACTATCCATGACACGTGACTGGACAAAACACAAACACTCGCGGGTGCCAACTGCGCATTGTTTGAGTTGACGTTATGAATCAATCACACCTTAAAACTTAGAACATTCCATTTTGCAGGACATACACTTTACTGATGATTGGATCTTCAAGCACTCGCAATAATGCAACATTATGAATTTCCTTATGACATCCTCTGTAGTCCTCATAGAGAGGACATAGATGGCCTCACACATTACATTTCGGATTACATAAACTTCTGTGTGGAACATACCGTCCCATCCAGGAGAATACGATGTTTTCCCAATAACAAGCCATGTTACTTGCTCTCTATTGCTGCTGAAACACAGGAATTTCCCCATTGTGCGATCAATAAAGTCCTACCTTACCGTACCTTACCTTCAACTACACTATGCCAGTTGGCCTATTCTTTCTTCTCTTTTGGAGGAAAGAAAAGTGGAAGAGCATTGTTTTGGTGCATTCCGGCATCACTACACCTATGGTCATCACTAGCTTTTCAGAACCTTTTTTAACCAGCATTTGCTGATTTGTTCACAGCATAACTCAAAAAGTAATACATGGATTTTGATGAATTTTTTTGGAGAGGTGGGTTATGGCCCATGGAAGAATCTATTTGATTTTGGTGTTGCTCTGGATCATCATCCAGATGTCACTGTGATTCCAAATGCCAGGGGTAGGTTTTCATGGTCAAGGAATCATACTATGAGGCTCAAACTATGGCATTATGGGGACAGTGAACTGCCTTGGTGGATGTTTACGTTCTCTGAGTGATATCTAGTTTAATCTGCACAGTACGATATAGTACTTTAGACCATGACAAATGATGTGTCCAACTATTTATTATGTGTCATGTTTCTTAAAAACAGATGAATAATTCAACTGACCCAATGAAAAACTATTTTCATTAATGATTTGGATTTCTCTGTTTACATTTTCATGCATCAGTTTTGTACACAGACGAGAGTTTCCCCCTCAGTACATCCTTAGTAATAACTGGGACTCAAATTTTTGAAACAGTTACAACTGAATGTGTAACAAGGTTGGGTGTTTGCTTTTACCTCTAGCTGTTTAATCCGCTCCTCATCTTCACATATCCGCCCTTCATCCACCTCTATGGCCTTCCTCATCACAGAGGCCATCTCATTGATCTTATCTATGTGTGCTTGCATTTCCTAAAAAATGAAAAACAATTATAGAAATAAAACTCCATGAAAGTGTAGAAAATGAGTAAATTCTTGATCACAGGGCTTAAAACAAGAACATTTTAAAACAGCTAATGAGTCTTTTTCATTTTACAATCAAAGGAAAAAGTTAGAAAAACTGGATCCAATGTTGTACTCTAGTCACTAATGATCAAATCCGAGTCGTCTCTAGTCCCCAGTGTTCGAGTGAGTTAAGTCCGAGTCACCAAAGAATAACCCGAGTCAGGTCCCAGTCGAGTCCCCGTTACCCGAGTCTGTCATCAAGGTCTACATTAAACACAACTGACACAGCTCTCACCATTCTATATTCCAAACTTTTAAATAGTGTATAACAACACCATATAGTTCAACTATTTGATACATAAAAATCATTTATAGAAAGGCGGAGTTTACACTTGATGGAAGTGAATACTGCATGAATACAGCATTGTGCAGATGAACAGGTTTTAATATCTATATTTTATGCCAAATTATTATAGCCTATTACACACAAAAAAAAATCAGAGTCCTCCTCTCCAACTTCAGAGTGAAGAATGCAGTCAATGCTCGAGTCAGAGTTCAAGTCTGAGTAATCAGTGCTCAAATCTGCGTTGAGTCACAAGTCCTGAAAGCCTAGACTCGAGTTGGACTCGAGTCCAAGTGCTGAACCCGAGTACCAGAACACCGACTGACCAAAACTACCAAGCCCTTTAAGACACAAGTGGGCCTCACTAACTGTAGTGTGCTGCTCCTTTAGCTGGGTCACGATGGTTGGGTCATCCCTCTTACTGGCCATCAGGAGCCTGAACACCTGCTCCCTGTACTTGGTCATGATGAGCTCTAAAGCAGACTGGTGTTCCTCCAATGATGTCCGTAGTTCTGAAGGAAGAATCAAGAAGGCTTGTTCAGAAGACACTGAACATCTGTCTGCTTTAGCTTGCCCTACTATATTCAGCAAACAAATCTCTAATATTTAAACAAAACACTTCATGAATGGTAGAATCATTCCACAATTGAATAAACACTAAAAATGTATTCCAAATTAGCTGCCAACCTTTGTTTTCCTGCTGGAGTGCTCTGATCTGACGGTTTTCCTGCTGGATTCCCAGGACCAGACTGGAACGAGGCCGATGTCGTGCAACCTGGTTCAGTGTGTCAATCTCCTCCTGGTACTGTTGAGAGATGACCAGATCATGTTGTTGTTGGCTTCTCAAATGTTTGTTTTTTTATATAAATGTTATTGCTTTATATTTGTGGCTATTTTTAACAATAAGTAACACTACATCCAATGTCAGAATTATCAGTTAATTTCAAAAAGGTGTCTGTGTGTCTCTATGCAAGTAATCCTTGACATTTAGTCAGCACCAAAATCTTGTGACACCCCACCTGTTTCATGGCCTCCACTCGCTTGTTGAGGGATGTCGTCTGTTCGATTAACATCTCAGCGGCGTTATCATGGTTACGAAGCCTTTCCACTAATGATTTGGCATCTGCCAGGACCTTCTCTAATGTACAATTCATGCCTGAGAAAATACAAGTCATCATTACAAAGAGATATAAAGGTTTAATGACAATGGCATTCTAGTTTTGTTACAGAAGACCAAAAGAAGGTAAAATCACAGGACGTCTCACCTTGAATGACAGCTGCTGTGTCAGCTAATTCACTCAAGCTTACATTACCTTGTTGTAAGTGATATATTTAGTTGTCTGTATGCCATATTTATCTTAGCTCTAGTAAAGGTACAAGTAATTACACAATCAAATGCCCTGGTTCCGTTAACTGACTATTAGCAACATTTATTACCAAGAGCACTATGTTAAAGTAAATCTTTGCTAATTCGTTAACTTAGCTGACTACCATATTAAAGCTTTCAAATCCACTTAAGACTCATGCTACAAACGTTTTGGTCTAAGTGGTCGACTGGAATTTAAAAAAAGCTCCTCCTAATTAATGTTAAAAATTAATTAAACAAGAGTGTTATACCTGAAGAATTCAGCGTGTAGAGACAGTAGAATTTAACTAGCCCGGTACTTCCTGTTGGTGTTAGGTAGCTAACATTAGCGCTCATCAAGGAACAACAAGCAGAGACTCGGATGGAGATCTATTTCTTTCTAAAGCACAAGGAGATGTCAGCAGATAGGAACTCATTGAGTTAAACGCTAACGTCCGAAGCTGTAAATGCAGCCTTGAGATGATTTGTTTAGCAACAGCTAACATAAACGACTTCCAAAAATGCCCTCCAATCCCGCGAGATTTTATTGTCATAATATTCTCGCGACAATACCCGCGGGACTTTGTTAAATACAGAAAATATGGCGGACAGACTAACGCAGCTTCAAGACGCTGTGAATTCGGTAAGGCGAGTTTAAAAAAAAAAAAAAATCATAGCGTAGTTTAGTCATTTATGCAAATAAGGAATTTTAATAGTTATATAATTTGTAGGTAATAGTTTTTTGAAACCGTATCTCCAGTATTTCAGTGACTTGTTAACATTGGGTGGCTAACGTTTATATAACAGAGCAAGCTCAACTTCACGTTTTATTTCGCACACACAATTGGTACATTGCTGCAGTGTTGAAAGACCTTACCTCATGTTTATGGTGCAGGTGGTTGGCTGCTAGTCTCAACAACTAGCTAGCTTTCTTGATTGGCAGTCCTTTATCCGTCATCCATTAATGGTTTTGTGTGTGTCCAGCTTGCAGATCAGTTTTGTAATGCCATCGGCGTCTTGCAACAATGTGCGCCTCCTGCCTCCTTCAGTAACATCCAGACGGCTATCAACAAAGATCAGCCTGCAAACCCAACCGAAGGTGATTTATTGGTTCTTATCTAAAGCTAGTCACATTGCGTTATTATTTACCTCTAATACCTCTACCTTCTAATTTATTATGCCCTGCCTTTTAAATTGATCAGGTTTACATTATTAAATCTACAGTATGTGACTTTTGTTGTAGAAATATACTCCAAAACTTGTGTTAATGTTGAGAGGTGCTGTCAAAGCCTTCTGTAACCCAGACTCGTCGAACAGCACTGGTAGCAGTGCAGAAATATTAGCTTCTAAATATTTTTGAATGGGATTGACCTAACCAATCAGAGGTTTTCAGTTGTTTCTGCTTGGTCAGTAAAATATGTTGTTCTCCTTTACTGTAATTTCATAACAACAAATAACTGAAGAGCTGAGCACAGTGTAGCAGATCACAGTAGAGCAGGGAACTGGAGTGCTGAGTGGAGCAGAGTGGATTGATTTGGAGTTTCATGCTTTTGCTATCTTAAGTTACTGTACCTTTAATGTACCAATTCAATAATCATTTTGTTAAATGGATTTCGAATGACACATGAGGCTTTACCGGGCCATATAATATTAATCCCAGTTCCTCTAATTGCATCCATGTTTCCCTCACTTGCATCTTTTCCTTTGCGTCTTAGTCCCACCCATGTAAGATGCAAGGAAGAGATGCGAGGAGAAACTATGTGGAGAGAGGAACTGAGGAAACACATTTTAACTGACATGAGATGTCATTCCCACTGATCCTTCATGTGAAGTGACTAATTACAAATTGATTTCCAACAAAGGTGCATGTCAATCTGTAACAAACCTCTGCAAAGGATACATGTAACTTCAGTTATAACTCCTCCTGACAGCCTCCTTGCACCTCAGTCCTTGCTCCTTAGAGCAGAAATAAGAGTTCTGGGTAGAGATCCACCAGTTGTGAATTTCTGCGCCAATACCAATGTTTAAAATAATAATGTGGCTCATAGCTGATGCTGATGTTGTTTATTTATTCTCCCTTTTGTGCCAAGGAAACGAGGACAGTTTCATTATAAAAAAAAAAAACTAGCCCTGTGTTATACCATGTATGCTGTACCAATAAGCGCAACAGACCATCGAATGTAATTTGCCTTGGGATTAAGCAGTGGACCAGTTACAGTCCTGTTAACCGGTTCAAATTTGAACAAATTGCATATCAGGTTGAATGTGATTTATGGAAAAAGTGACAGTCCTAGGATGCACTTACAGTTTTGTATAGTTCACTTACTATACCTGTGTATCATTTGCCCCAGGGGTAGCATATTCATGGTAAATTAAAAGAGGGAAAAAAAAGCACAAGAAGAGGAGGTATCTCTGAGCATACATTATAAGGACCTGTTAGTTAGTTAGTTAGTTAGATATGAGAAATCAGTCCAGCAGCACATCACTGATGCCAACATAGTTTTTTAGATGGTTAATAAAGATAAAATGGTCCAGGAGATAAAAATGACATCTTAGAAATGGGTCTAAAGTTGTTTAAAACTGAGGAATCCAGAGAGGGCTTCTTCAAAAGGGGATGAACAGCAGCATGTTTAAAATCAGAGGGCAAATACCAGTATACATAGAGCAGTTAATAATGGCTAAAATATTTCAACCTTTTGACCGTGTATTTGGGTTCACTTTATTTATCTTGCTCCAGAATATGCCCAGTTATTTGCAGCACTGATCGCCAGAACAGCCAAAGATGTTGATGTACTCATTGACTCTCTGCCTAGTGAGGAGTCCACAGCAGCTTTGCAGGTGAGTACATGCACAAGCATCTTTCAGATATTGATTTTTATCCACAATTTCCTCCTCATTGTCACTCTGGTTAGATGAATTAACTTTTTCTACTTTGTCTTATCGTGTTTGAACTGAATCATTATAAAACATGTCTGTCAGGGAGAGCTAGGCTAGAATTAAATGCCCAAAAGCTTCTTTAAACATGAATTTATATATATGTACAGTATATCACAGAAGTGAGTACATCCCCTCACATTCTGTAAATATTTAAGTATATCTTTTCATGTGACAACACTGAAGAAATGACACTTGGCTACAATGTAAAATAGTGAGTCTACAGCTTATATAACAGTGTAAATGTGCTGTCCCCTCAAAATAACTCAGCACACAGCCATTAAGCTCTAAAATGATGAGGATGGACGAGCATGCATATGAGCTTCCCTGAGACAGTTTCTGACAGTTTGTGCAGAAATTCTTTGGTTAGGCAAACCGATTGTTGCAGCAGCTGTCCGGGTGGCTGGTCTCAGACGATCTTGGAGGTGAAGATGCTTTATATACATGTATATTTAAAAACGAACTCTCCCACTTGCCCCGCTTCGGGACGGTCTTTTATTCCTCTCTCTCTCTCTCTCTCTCTCTCTCTCGACTGTGTGTGTGTGTGTGTGTGTATGTATACATACACACACACAGTCAAGCCCGAAATTATTCATACCCCTGGCAAATTCTGACTTAGTTACTTTTATCCAACCAGCAAGTTTTTTTTGACAGGAAATGACACAGGGTTCTCCCAAAAGATAATAATATGGGTGAATGGTGTATGATCTTCTGTAAAGCGCTTTGGCCAGTGCAACACACTGTGAGAAAGCGCTATATAAAATACAGTCCATTTACCATCATTGTGGAACAAAATATTTCTCAGCCTTTATTTACATTTGAACAAAAAGTGGCATGTCCAAAATTATTCATACCCTTTTCAATAATCAATAGAAAAGCCTTTATTGGCTATTACAGCAATCAAACGCTTCCTATAATTGCTGACCAGCTTTTTGCATGTCTCCACTGGTATTTTTGTCCATTCATTTTTAGCGATGAGCTCCAACTCTTTCAGGTTGGAGGGTCTCCTCACCATCACCCTCAGCTTTAGCTCCTTTCACAGATTCTCAATTGGATTCAAGTCAGGACTCTGGCTGGGCCACTGCAAAACGTTAATGTTTTTGTCTGTCTTCACCACTTTTGCTGTGTGTTTTGGGTCATTGTCGTGCTGAAATGTCCACTGGTGCCCAAGGCCAAGTTTTTCTGCAGACTGTCTGATGTTGTTGTTGAGAATTTTGATGTATTGCTCCTTTTTCATAGTGCCGTTTAGTGTGATTAGGTTCCCTGGTCCACCGGCTGAAAAACACCCCCAAAACATTAGGTTCCCACCGCCATGTTTGACAGTGGGGACAGTGTTCCTAGGGTTGAAGGCTTCTCCTTTTTTATGCCAAATGAAGGCTACATCATTGTGGCCAAACAATTCAATTTTTGTTTCATCTGACCATAAAACAGAAGACCAGAAGTCTTCTTCTTTGTCCAGATGAGCATTTGCAAAGGCCAAGCGACCTTTTGTGTGCCTTATCTGGAGAAGTGGTGTCCTCCTTGGTCTGTGTCCGTGGAACCCAGCGGTGTGCAGTGTCCACTGGACTGTCTGCCTTGAGATGTTGCCACCAGCAGAGCCCAGATTCATCAGGATGGCCTTGGTGGTGGTCCTTGGATTCTTTTTTTACCTCTCACTATCCTCCTGGCCAGCACAGGTGTCACTTTTGGCTTCCGACCACGTCCTCTGAGATTGTTTACAGTGCATAACATCCTGTATTTTGTAATAATAGTTTGCACTGTAGCCACTGGAACTTCAAAACATTTACATATGGTCTTATAGCCCCTTCTTGACCAATGAGCAGCCGCAGGTCCTCAGTGAGCTCCTTTGTCTTAGCCATGACTGTCCACAAACCAACAGCAGACAGCTTCTGTTTTTCACCCGTTGAGTTGATTAAAATAGCTGTTCCCAATGAATCAGTGTAATTATGATGCTTTAGAACAGCTTGGACTATTTGGAATGGTATAGAACTTTGGATTTTCCCATAGACTGTGACAGTTTGCAAAGGGTATGAATAATTTTGGACATGCCACTTTTTGTTCAAATGAATAAAAGCTGAGATATTTTTTTTTTCCCACGATGCCTCTTGTACATCGTATTATTATCTTTTGGGAGACGCCTGTGTCATTTCCCGTCCCCACCGTCAAATATAGAGGTGGAAACATAATGCTTTGGGGGTGTTTTTCTGCCAAGGGGACAGGACAATTGCATCGCATCAAAGGGAGGATGGATGGGGCCATGTACCGTCAAATCTTGGGTGAGAACCTCCTTCCCTCAGTCATGGCATTGAAAATGGGTCGTGGTTGGGTATTCCAGCATGACAATGATCCAAAACACACGGCCAAGGCAACAAAGGATTGGCTCAAGAAGAAGCATATTAAGGTCATGGAGTGGCCTAGTCAGTCTCCAGACCTTAATCCCATAGAAAATCTGTGGAGGGAGCTGAAGGTTCGAGTTGCCAAACATCAGCCATGAAACATTAATGACTTGGAGAGGATCTGCAGAGGAGTGGGTCAAAATCCCCCCTGAGATGTTTGCAAACCTTGTGTCCAACTACAAGAAACGTCTGACCTCTGTGATTGCCAACAAAGGTTTTGCCACCAAGTACTAAAGCACGTTTTGCAAAGGGATCAAATACTTATTTCATTCATGAAAATGCAAATTACTTTAACTTTTTTCGTAATGCATTTTTCTGGATTTTTTTTGTTATTGTTGTGTCTCTCACAGTTCACATAAACCTACCATTGAAATTGTAGACTGATCATTTCTTTGTTAGTGAGCAAACTTACAAAATCAGCTGGGGTTCAAATAATTTTTTCCCTGACTGTATTAATGTTCTTTACTGCCATACAACCCGCAGTAACAGAAAAGTGGCTCAGAAAGTTCTGTCTTTCTCTCATTTACAGTCTCGTGTGCAACATTTCCTGACTTTGTATAAGTGAGAAAATCAGTTATTTTGCTGCTGAAATAAGGACAACTGATGAGAAATTATGACAAGAGATGAGAGACAGCTAATCGATGAGTTGTTCAATGCTTATTTGAAATAAATTGGGCCCACTGTGATGTCTTGTCAGGCGGCCAGTCTACGGCAGCTAGAGGAGGACAACCATGAGGCAGCAGCTCGTCTTGAGGAAGTGGTTTACCGTGGCGATATGCTGCTGGAGAAAATCCAGAGTGCCCTAGCAGACATTGCCCAGTCTCAGCTGCGCACCCGCAATGGAGCACTGAGCCAGACTTCACCAGCCGAATCCTGACCTGCAAAATACCTAATGCAGTTTAGGACAACTTCACTCCCATTCTGACTATTGTTTACCTGCAGACATTGACTGCAAACATCAAAATGCTCAAACACGGGCTGAATATGTCTGAGGGGCAACACACAGGTATTTCGGAATTATATTTTCTTATGCCTTTTAAGTAATTTGGTTCAGAAAGAGTTACAAATACACAGACGTCTTGACTGTGTATTTGTGAAACCGAACTGGAGGGGAGTAAAATCATCTTTGCATACACATTGTTTTGCTTGTGTGCCTTTTTTTTTTCTTGATGCAGAAAAGTTGGAAAAATACTTCTGTCAGGTTTTGTTTTTGTACATGTTATATATTGATATGAAATAAATCAATTGTAATTTTTTTGTACACTCTTCAGATTGCTTTAAAAAGTTTAATTGCCCAGTTTAAATGAGTGTTAGATGAGTCTCTTTTCTGTTTTAATAAAGCTTCAACAAATTTTGGATTTCATTTGGTCAAACTCTCACAGCTACATCGTTGTCTTTACCTCGGGTAAGTTCTACATGTTATACATTTTTATAATTTTTCTAAACATTCCTGTCTCAGTAGGTATGTTTGTCAATTTTTGATCACAAGTAATACTTTCATTTAGTCTTATTTGTTTGAGCTCTATATTCCTGTCAGTCTAAAGAGCTGTATGGTAGTGGCATTAAATTAAATTTCATGTTAAAATGCAGTGGATTCGGGAAGTATTCAGAATCCCTTCACTTTTTTTCAATTTTGTTATGTTGCAGCCTAATGCTACAATCGATCAAATTCTTTTTTTTAATTTTTATTAATCTACATTCAGCAAACCATAATGACAGTAAAAGAATTTTAGAAATGTCTGTAAATTTATTAAAAAGAAACTGAAATATCACATTGGCATAAGTATTCAGATCCTTTGCAACAACACTTGAAATTTAGCTCAGGTGCCTGCTATTTCTCTTGATAATTGCTGAGCTGTTTCTACACCTTGATTGGAGTCAGCCTGTGGCAAATTAAATTGATTGGACATGATTTGGAAAGGCGCACACCTCTATAGAAGCCCTCACAGCTGACAATGCATACTGTATCAGAGCAAAATCCATGAGGTCAAAGGAACTGTCTGCAGAGTTTAGAGACAGGATTATTGCAAGGCACAGATCTGGGGAAGGCTACAAAAAATTTCTGCCACACTGAAGGTTCCCCAGAGCACAGTGGCCTCCATAATTCTCAAATGGAAGGAGTTTGGCACAACCAGGATTGTTCCAAGCCTAGCCAAACCGAGAAATTGGGGGAGAAGAGCCAAAGTAAGAGGTGACCAATAGCCCAATGGTTACTCAGCGATCCTGTGTGGAGGTGGGACAAAGTTCCAGAAGGACAACCATTACTGCAGCCCTGCGCCACTCTAGGCTTTATGGCAGAATGGTAGAGGGAAGCCTCTCCTCCATGCAAAACACATGAAAGTCCATTTGGACTTTGCGAAAATGCACCCTAAGGACTCAGAGACTGTGATGAACAAGATTCTCTGGTCTGATGAAATGAAGATTGAACTGTTTGGCCTCAATTCTAAACGCTATGTCTGGAGGAAACCAGGCACCACTCATCACCTTCCCAATACCATACCAACAATGAAGCATGGTGGTGGTGGTGGCAGCATCATGCTGTGGGGGTGTTTTTCAGCAGCAGGGACTGGGAGACTGGTCAGGGTTGTGGGAAAGCTGAACGGAGCAAAGTACAGAGATATCTTCAATAAAAACCTGTTGCACAGCACCAAGGTCTCCGACTGGGCCAAAGGTTCACCTTCCAACATGACAACAATCCTAAGCACACAGCCAAGACAACACAGGAAAGGCTGAGGGACAACTCTGTGAATGTCCTAGAATGGCCCAGCCATAACCCTGACTTGAACCCTATTGAACATCTCTGGAGAAACCTGAAACTGGCCATCCACCAACGGTCCCCGTCCAACCTGATTGAGATTGAGAGCATTTGCAAAGAAGAATGGCAGAAAATCCCCCAATCCAGGTGTGCAAAGCTTGTCACGTCATATCTAAAAAGACTAATTGTTGCCAAAAGGTGCTTCAACAAAGTACTGAGTAAAAGGTCTGAATACTTTAGCACGTGATATTTCAGTTTCTTCTTTTTTAATAAACTTTGACATTTCTAAAATTCTGTTTTCACTTTATCATTATGGGGTACTGAGTGTAGATTAATGAGAAAAAAATGAATTTGAACAATGGTAGTATCAGGCTGCAACATAATGAATCCACCCTAGATACACATTTCATTAAAGAATCACAAAAATTATGATAAATTGTGACTCGGTGGGAAATATGACTTCTTCCAAATGACCTTTGGTGCTTTTGTTGAAATTATCTCATTTTCTTTATGACCAAACTTGCTTTTTTAGCAAAAGACAACTCAAAACATCACATCTGGTGTTTAATTTATTTATTTATTTATTTGTGAAACAATTTGCCTGACTCTTGTGACTCCTGGAAGTAATATGCTTGATGAAAACACAGTCTTCAAAATATCAACATTTTTAAGCAACTAGACTGGTTTCAATACATTTCATGAGATTTGAGAGGATTTCATAAGCAAGATAAAAATAGTATGGGAAAAATGCCAAGCTGCTGAGGGTGTAAAATCGGGAAGAGCACTGCTGAGAACTTAAATATACTTATTTGGGACTCTAGACTTTTTAATTTTCACTAGGACAAATCAGGAAATTCAAAGTGGCAAGAAAGGTTTTTAGCTTGTATTTTCAGCTTTTTTGGCACTAAAATTATGTAATATACCAAAATGTATTTATTTTTATGACATCAAATGCTCTTGTAACCCTTTTATGATGTTTTTAAACATTAGACTGTATGTGTACATTATCTGAAGCTCCAGTGGCCTGAGAATACAGGAACCCATGACAAATTATTTTGTTTCTTTTTTAATTTGATAAAATAGCTGCTCTGCCTTGTCTGACCATAAAGTAAATGATCTGAATCTTTTTCAGTTTTCAACTGTTAAAAGTAGTGGAGTTTTGTTTTCATTCACACTGTGGCTGGGTGTTTCAGACTGATCTTTTTGAAGTGTGTATGGCTGCAAACCAGAGAGTTTAGAAACCAAATCTAAATATAGGTGCTGTGTCACAGCCCGGGGGACTCCACTGATGTGAGAAATATAAAAACGGCTTTGTCTGCTGGACACCACACCCAGATGCGTTAGTAGGGTACACCCACCTCTGTGTCTGTATCACCATGGCTCTCATGGTAAAAGCACTCAACTTTCCAAATAAGGAGATGCATGGTAGAGAAAATTCACCAGTTAGTCTGTTGCATTTCACTGTTATGGTCAAAGCTGTTTTGTTGGGAGCACGGTTTTGTTATTTGCTCTGGTTGGTAATATTAGAGTTTTTTGTCAAAATAAACCTTAAGTATACAAGACATGAAATATTCCACATTGGGTCTAAGCACATTTGCTGTGATGATGGTGACTTTCCTTTAGAATTTTCCGACTGAAACGGTGTAAACACTCTACAGTGTTCAAATGATGACCACATTTTATTTATTTTTTTTGCCAAACAAGCTGCAGTCATCTTGAATTGTTACACCAAAGGTTTCATATTTTGCCTGAACAATAATATTTCTGATTATACTCCTAGAATACACCAATCAGCCATAACATTATGACCACTGGCAGGTGAAGTGAATAACACTGACTATCTGTTACAGTGGCACCTGTCAGTGTGTGGGGTATATTAGGCAGCAGGTGAACATTCAGTCCTCAAAGTTGATGTGTTGGAAGCAGGAAAAATATGCAAGTGTAAGGATCTGAGTGACTTTGACAAGGGCCAAACTGTGATGGTGAGATGACTGGGTCAGAGCATCCCCCACACTGCAGGTCTTGGTGGGTATTCTTGGTCTGCAGTGGTCAGTACCTACCAACAGTGTCTAAGGAAGGACAAATGGTGAACTGGTAACAGGGTCATGCACGTCCACAGCTCACTGATGATGAGGCTGCCCTACTGTAGATTAAACCTTTAACTTCTGTTTGTACTTTTCAAAAGATTAAAATTTATTTAAAACTTTGTTGAAATGGTTGAAAATGAGAAATACTGTACATTGGTCTCTATGAAGAGAAAGAGTCAGGGGCTGTAGTGGTGATATCATACCTAGAGTGGTGAAGCTGTTGAATTTGTCTAAAAAAAATGTTCTTTAACTTGTCCTCACGACCACAGTTTGCACTCTTTTTACATAAGTTGAATTGTAGACACATCTGTGCTCATCCTGACAGTATAACTGTGGAAGCAAATGGATTCACAGAAGATGCACAGTGAGCTGCAGAGTGACAGGAGTGCCAACCAACTACCACACTGACTCCTATGTAAACAGTATTAGGCAGGTGGTCATAATGTTATGGCTGATCGGTGTAGAGCCATGGTCTGTGTGTGGCACTATCATTATCTTATCATATTATATGGTGTTTATACCTTCTATATTACCACATACTTAAAGTAGTTAAATAAAATTGTCTGTAGGGTATAAATTACAGTTTTGCTTTCATATTTAACCTGTATAATAGTATTATTGTGGTGTAAATAGTTCTGGTGTTCAACTTTGTTGTTTTGTTTGTTTTGTTTCTTGGCCAGCTATATTACTTAAAAACCTGAAATTTCTATTTTCACCACAATATGACCTTTTATTGACCATTTAGTGCATACAGCATTTGCTAGTATTAATGTGAAGGGACTCATTATTTTACTAGTCATATTTATGGAATATAGTTTTCAAAAAGTATCACAATAGTGTTAGTTATTTTTGTGAGTGTTTGCACTCAGTATAATCATTACAATTATGTAACAAAGCTTACAACTACTTTAGCTAGCGTAACCTTCCACAGCCGCAAGTGCTTACTAACCAAATAAACCTGCGTTCTGGAGCACGACCCTTGCGGGGCAGATCAGTTCTTTTCATTGGCTAATGAACATGTTTGTTTAATATATATACCACATATGATTGGCAAGTGGAAACCACGGGGCTTTTTCTCCATTGGTGATTGGTTCAGACCAACATCATTCAAGTGCTACGCCGTCCCGTTTCCAGAACTGTCCCAGGAAGCAGTGCTGCTTATATTTTATAACGATATAGGCGTGGGAAGCACTGAATTTCGAGGTTAAGTGGTACAGATAAAGACAGTAAAATAATTTCAAGTTATTTTAGGTTAGCTTGTTGTGAATGTCAGAGGGCATTTGTTATAATTTGGCGTTGATGTCGATATTGATATTACCTCGAAATGGTTGCCAATAACTGAAGCCTCTAGCTTTCATCTGCCTAAATATTAGGCAGAAAAAATACGAAAGAATCTACTATACGTTTTTTCAACAGGGCCGTGGGCTGGCGGCAAGCCAATAATTGACTCTGGAGCAGGATACAGAGGTAGGTGAAATATTTCTGACAAAATGCCATTTATTTTTATGCTGTCTGGGCTTTATTTATTGCTGTCATGGAACCTGCCAGACAGACCCCCGGGGAATGTAGATGATAGATAGGTAGCTAAAACAACACAGCTTCAAAACGAACGACCGAATATTTGTTTAAAACAACCTCATATTATTTAAACGTAGTATCTCAACAGTAAATATTATCTGGTATCAGCTATCATGTCCCAGTAGCGGAGCTAGGCGCAGATAGTAACGTTAGGGGTTTGACCATAGGCGTCACTATACCCCTTTTACTGAGGCAGTATTGATTTGCTGTGCCCCAGTAAAAGCACACGTTCGAATTTTAACAAGCTCCTATATTTGGAAGTGGATTCATTTAGACTGATAATAATGGGAAAAGATTTGACTTGTCATTCTAATCCAGAATGTCAAAGCAGCTGTGGTCAGGGTTCCTACTCCACGGTGCGCCCATATGACCGTCATGCACGTTGTTGCTGGAGCACTGCAGCGCACACGCAGCAGTCCATGTATTGCGCACAAAACAAAAAAGGAATGGACTGATGTATTTGATGGGCACTAATTTAAGTTTTTCAATAATACCAATAATCTTATTTTGACTCAGACACTACTGACTCTTGTAGATGGATATAAGAACATTCTTTAGAGGAGGCCAAGACAGGGAAGAAGTTGAGAGAGATGAGGGTGAGAGTGGTGAGACCTGGCTGTAGTTGATAAACAAGCTAACGTTAGTTTAGTTAACTAGTATGTAACCGGGCACAAGTGTTGAATGTGAAGTAAATTAGAACCCTGTACATCAATGCATATGATCAGTTGGACTACTCTTAAAATGCTGTTTATCAGTGTAAGAATGCTTAAGACATCACATGTAACATGTGATGTGTTAAAGAGCCCATGGCATGCTTTTTCTTGTGTTTTTGACTCATCTACAATGTTACAATGGTGAATTATCATCTTAGACATAACCTAAAGCTCAAAAAATGAAATGTACGCATGTTCTAGTATTTCTATGCAGAAGCAACTCGGTTTATACACATTTCGCAAGCTCTCGCTTGTGAGACTTTTTTTTCTAACAAAATTAAGTATTACATGACATTTTAAATATTTCCTTGAATGTGCATAATCTCCAGGCTGTTGCCGATGTCATTTTAAAAGCGGAATATTTTGACTGAGCTTGTTTTTGTGGATATATTTTCCCTCCTGCTGCCTGCACTGTGACCAGAGGATGTAGCGGAAAATACAGGGCCTGAGGTTACTGCATGTTCAGAAATGTTCCTGTACAAGGACTTGTTTTACCTGACCGGGTCTAACCAGGTTTTGACTGCTTGAGGCCAGTGATATGATGCCGGTTAATGAGCGTATTAACAACCCATGATGCTATTTTGGGTGCTACACTACCTGTTGGAATTCATTTTACCACTTTGGGAATGTACTGTATATCCTTTTCACAGATCTTGAGAAAGGGAGGTGATCATGAGGGGAGCAGCTGGGTCTGAGGTGAGGTGGGTGAGGGGTGTGGAGTTCTGCTTCTTGAACCTATAGTAAAACACATTCTGGTCTTCCACAGCGGGGAAGGATGGTTTCCTGTAGTCAGTGATGTTTTGTAGGCTTTTCCACACAGAAACTGAAAAACAAGTTTTCATCTTTTTGGAGTATCTCCTCTTTGATACTCTGATTTCCCTTGCCAGTGTGTTCCTGGCCTGCCTGTACAGGATCTTGTCCCCACTTCTGTAGGCCTCCTCTTTGGCATGACAAAGCTGCTTGAGTTTGGCTGTGAACCAGGGCTGCTTGTTGTTGTATGTGCAGAGTAGTGCAACAGATGAGCAGAACAATTGTGCATTGAATGATAAAAGCATGGATTTTCCACAAGTGTTAGTACATACCATAAGGTTTCATTTCAGATGTGGAGGTAAACTGTAACTGGCTTAGGAGGACCGTGAGAGATCATTGACCTCCCATCATCAATAATATATATTTTTGCTATTGAATCACAAGAAATATGTTATACAGAACAATAATCAGTGTGTACATCGCAAAATATGTTGCTAATATTGTTTACATTTGTAGAAATAAACTTTTGAAGTCCTGGTGATTGAAGTGTTTGTATATGTTTCAATTATGTCTGAAACCTGAGAATTGAGCACACAGTGTAGAGTACATGAGCATATGTTTCTGATGTTAACTTTAGCGGTTGGTGTGCATCATGCCTAGCAGTCCCCCGAACAGAAGCGCAGTGCACTTGAAACCAACATTCTCTCTGGCTTTCCACAGACAGAATTAACACCACCCCCAGACCTAACTCATTTTATTCACTCATCTCCCAATCAGCAGGCAGGAACAGCACATCACCAGGTGCCAATTGTTACATAGGACAGACATATGGTACAGTACATGCTGCAATTTAGAAGCCACCACATTAGGCCTGTAGCACTACTGATTCTCATTGGTCTGTTAGGAGGTCTGCATGGAGGGCATTCAATGATCCTTCTGTTTATGTAAAGCCATGCAACTGTTGCTGAACAGCAGCTACTGTTAGCAGTGGTGACTAATACAGGTCAAGCACCAGTCACACCCATCTTTTGTTTATTTGTTATTTTTTGTGTTTTTCTTATAGGATAGTATGGCCATGACGGGAGGGACTGCAGCTGCCCTTCCCATGAGCAACCACACCCGTGAGAGGGTTACTGTGGCCAAGCTGACACTGGAAAACTTCTACAGCACTCTGCTCACACAGCACGAGGAGCGAGAAATGAGGTAAAACTGCTTAAGCACTTATAAAATCCACTGTTTCAGAGTCTACAGTGCTTATTAATTTGAAACCAGCAGCCCTTTCTCCACACCTGTCAGGAATCAGGAATGTTCCAGGCCATGTCGTATGTCTATTTTACAAAAACTATATATAATTAATTGATGACATTATGGATATTGTATCTTTTAATACTTACTGTATCTGATGCAGTAAAAGTCACCCAAGATATTTATCATTGCAACCTGTTACCTCGGTTACTTTGTACATGTAAAAGTAGCTGTTGTTTAAAGCACTGTCAAGCTGTCCACTGCTGGAAAAAGTAACAATGCAGAGATGTTTCATCTCAGGTGTAAGCACAACAGGGCATCTTGTAATCCCCCTCTTGTGCTCTCAGATAAACCTGAGAGTTGATCTCTAGACCAGGTAACATGGTTTGGTGCCTCCTAAAAAAACAGCTGACTCAGTGTTTACATTCTCCCCCCTTGTATGTTTCCACTCCAGACTTTCCCACTCAAATTTGCAAATTAAAATAGAGTATAACAATTTTACAGCTATTAGTCTGGTTTTCTTACCATAAACAATAGGTATTTTTAATTGTAGGCAGAAAAAGCTTGAGAAGGCCATGGAAGAAGACGGTTTACCAGATGAGGAGGTACAGTATTGTACCTCAATACTAGTAGACCTCAAAACATAACAGATAACAATTTAAAAAAATATTTCTCTTCAGTTTACGAGTCACTTTTTTTTGCAGAAAGTAATGCGGCGTTCACAGCATGCTCGTAAGGAGACTGAGTTTTTGCGACTGAAGAGGACACGTCTTGGCTTGGATGATTTTGAGTCCTTAAAAGTTATTGGACGAGGCGCTTTTGGAGAGGTATGTTTAAAGATTGTGGCAAAGCTGTAAATTTTAACAGAAATTTTGATTGCTGGAAAAGTTGCAAGAGGTTTCAAAAACATCTTTGTGTATTTGGTTTCAGTGGTGCTTACCTTGCATTTATATACACTAGTTTTACCACAGTGTTAATTTAATTTCTTCTATATTATACTTTTGGTGCTGTAAATATGCATATATTGTTGATTTCAAGCAAATAACTGACATGTTTATTAACAATCCTTTTGATTTTAACTGTGATGTCTTCTACTTGAGGTGCGTTTGGTGCAGAAAAAAGACACTGGGCACATTTATGCCATGAAGATTTTGAGAAAAGCAGACATGCTGGAAAAGGAACAGGTGACACATTTATCAGCATCATAGTTCTTAAGAATGTTGAGGCATTCTGTTAAAGCTGCTATGCAGCAGTCATGGTGTTATATTCTACAGTTATGGACAAAATTATTGGCACCCCTGCATTTCTGGTAAATGGTCTTATACATGTATGGCACTTTTCTTTACATTGCAGCACACTCAGAGCACTTTCACAATATTTGGCCATTCACACATTTGCACTCTCAAGCACTCACACACCGGTGTCATCACCAGGAGCAACTGGGGGTTCAGTGTCTTGCTCAAGGACACTTCGACATGTTGACTGGACAAGTCGGGAATCAAACCACTAATCCTCCAGTTAGGAGACGACCTGCTCTACCTCCTGAGCCACAGCCGCCTACCAGATAATTCACCACTTTTCCCAGAAAATTGTTTCAATCACAAATTCTTTGGTATTGTCATGTTTATTTTTATTTTTTGTTTACATTGGAAAACACAAAAAGCAGAGGAGAAAAAAGAAAACAAATCTGATACATTCCATACAGAACTCCAAAAATGGACTGGACAGAATTATTGACACCCTCAACTTGATATTTGGTAGCACATCCTTTTGACAAAATATAATCAGTCACTTCCAGTAACCATCAGTGAGTTTCTAACACCTCTCTACTGTTGCACCCTGTGCCTGCAGGTCAACTTGAATTTGTTTGGAAGTTGATGGAGGGTCTTTATGCAGCATATGTGAGAGGGTTACTGTGGCCAAGCTGACACTGGAAAACTTCTACAGCACTCTGCTCACACAGCACGAGGAGCGAGAAATGAGGTAAAACTGCTTAAGCACTTATAAAATCCACTGTTTCAGAGTCTACAGTGCTTATTAATTTGAAACCAGCAGCCCTTTCTCCACACCTGTCAGGAATCAGGAATGTTCCAGGCCATGTCGTATGTCTATTTTACAAAAACTATATATAATTAATTGATGACATTATGGATATTGTATCTTTTAATACTTACTGTATCTGATGCAGTAAAAGTCACCCAAGATATTTATCATTGCAACCTGTTACCTCGGTTACTTTGTACATGTAAAAGTAGCTGTTGTTTAAAGCACTGTCAAGCTGTCCACTGCTGGAAAAAGTAACAATGCAGAGATGTTTCATCTCAGGTGTAAGCACAACAGGGCATCTTGTAATCCCCCTCTTGTGCTCTCAGATAAACCTGAGAGTTGATCTCTAGACCAGGTAACATGGTTTGGTGCCTCCTAAAAAAACAGCTGACTCAGTGTTTACATTCTCCCCCCTTGTATGTTTCCACTCCAGACTTTCCCACTCAAATTTGCAAATTAAAATAGAGTATAACAATTTTACAGCTATTAGTCTGGTTTTCTTACCATAAACAATAGGTATTTTTAATTGTAGGCAGAAAAAGCTTGAGAAGGCCATGGAAGAAGACGGTTTACCAGATGAGGAGGTACAGTATTGTACCTCAATACTAGTAGACCTCAAAACATAACAGATAACAATTTAAAAAAATATTTCTCTTCAGTTTACGAGTCACTTTTTTTTGCAGAAAGTAATGCGGCGTTCACAGCATGCTCGTAAGGAGACTGAGTTTTTGCGACTGAAGAGGACACGTCTTGGCTTGGATGATTTTGAGTCCTTAAAAGTTATTGGACGAGGCGCTTTTGGAGAGGTATGTTTAAAGATTGTGGCAAAGCTGTAAATTTTAACAGAAATTTTGATTGCTGGAAAAGTTGCAAGAGGTTTCAAAAACATCTTTGTGTATTTGGTTTCAGTGGTGCTTACCTTGCATTTATATACACTAGTTTTACCACAGTGTTAATTTAATTTCTTCTATATTATACTTTTGGTGCTGTAAATATGCATATATTGTTGATTTCAAGCAAATAACTGACATGTTTATTAACAATCCTTTTGATTTTAACTGTGATGTCTTCTACTTGAGGTGCGTTTGGTGCAGAAAAAAGACACTGGGCACATTTATGCCATGAAGATTTTGAGAAAAGCAGACATGCTGGAAAAGGAACAGGTGACACATTTATCAGCATCATAGTTCTTAAGAATGTTGAGGCATTCTGTTAAAGCTGCTATGCAGCAGTCATGGTGTTATATTCTACAGTTATGGACAAAATTATTGGCACCCCTGCATTTCTGGTAAATGGTCTTATACATGTATGGCACTTTTCTTTACATTGCAGCACACTCAGAGCACTTTCACAATATTTGGCCATTCACACATTTGCACTCTCAAGCACTCACACACCGGTGTCATCACCAGGAGCAACTGGGGGTTCAGTGTCTTGCTCGTCGGGAATCAAACCACTAATCCTCCAGTTAGGAGACGACCTGCTCTCCCTCCTGAGCCACAGCCGCCTACCAGATAATTCACCACTTTTCCCAGAAAATTGTTTCAATCACAAATTCTTTGGTATTGTCATGTTTATTTTTATTTTTTGTTTACATTGGAAAACACAAAAAGCAGAGGAGAAAAAAGAAAACAAATCTGATACATTCCATACAGAACTCCAAAAATGGACTGGACAGAATTATTGACACCCTCAACTTGATATTTGGTAGCACATCCTTTTGACAAAATATAATCAGTCACTTCCAGTAACCATCAGTGAGTTTCTAACACCTCTCTACTGTTGCACCCTGTGCCTGCAGGTCAACTTGAATTTGTTTGGAAGTTGATGGAGGGTCTTTATGCAGCATATGAACAATCCTTCATTGCAATCTGTCATTTGTTTTTCTCTTTCATCCACATCCAGGGAGATTAGTTACAGCGCCATAGACTGTAAACGTTTTGACAGTGTTGGCAACAGTGAACTCGGGAACAACAAGATCTCTGGAAATGAACTTGTAGCTTTGAGATTGTCCGCGCTTTTCAAATCCTCAGACAGTTGTTTGCTCTTGAATTTATGTGATTGCAACAATTCTCTGGGAGAAGTGGTGCGTTATCTGACAAAAATGCAGGGGTGCACATATTTTTGGCCATGACTGTAAGTGACTTAGGCTGTGTACCCTCTCCCTGCAGGTTGCTCATATCCGGGCAGAGAGGGATATTCTGGTGGAGGCCGATGGTGCTTGGGTGGTCAAGATGTTCTATAGCTTCCAGGACAAGAGGAACCTCTATCTTATCATGGAGTTTCTGCCTGGAGGTTTGCACTGATACTCTTAAGATCCTCTTACTGAGTCCTATGAGAACAGAGCAATCACAATCAGTCTGAAATACAGCACAACAAAAATCCTAATATGAACTTTTTTTTTCTATTTTGTATCATGAATCTGTGTCCACCACGAGCATGATATGTATTGACAGAAAAATCTTTACATTTTTCAGTAGTTGTGAACTTTAAGCTTATTCTCAGGTGACATGATGACCCTGCTGATGAAGAAGGACACCCTGTCTGAAGAGGCCACCCAGTTCTACATCGCAGAGACAGTGCTGGCCATCGACTCCATCCACCAGCTGGGCTTCATTCACAGAGACATCAAACCAGACAACCTGCTGCTGGACCGGGTGAGCACACACACACACACACACACACACACACACACACACACACACACACACATATTTGTACTGGTATAACTGTGATGTCTTTCAATGTCTACTGTTCTTGTAGAAGGTTTTAATAAATACCCTCAATGTTATGCAGGCGCCCAGACATTTTCTGACTGTGTTGGTGTGCATACAGTGTGTGGTTCATGTGCATGATGCAGATGATTTATCAAGTGTCTCTTTGTCCACAGGGACATGTGAAGTTATCAGATTTTGGCCTGTGTACAGGACTGAAGAAGGCTCATCGCACAGAATTTTACAGGAACCTGACACACAACCCACCTAGTGATTTCTGTGAGTTAAAGGTCTAATATCCACAAAAAAGTCAAACAGTAATGTAACCAGATCCAAATACATATTCATATACATTATAGTTAGGGGTATATATTTCTTCCTCTCACATCATTCGATATGTATCTTGGTACATAGTCCATGATTAGATACAAATACAATACTCCAAAAATTGTAACAGTATGATTCAGAGTTATTTCGATTAGATTCAGCAGATATTCAGTTTTAATTTAGCTTTTATTTGAAAGACTATACATACATTCAAGTATCTGTTTAGGATATAAACTCAAAAAGAGTTGGTGTTTCCTCAAAACATTTTTGTATCTCAAGCAGTAATAGCGTCATCAACCCCGATGCCAGGTCAATATGCGAATTGCAATGGGTCGAGCCCTGAGCTCACTTGGGCGTGGAGGTGGCCGAGACCAATCCTCTCCATGGTCTTCATCAGGTGGGAGGTCAGGGCAACGGGTCTGTAATGGTTCAGCTCCTTAGGATTAGTTATTTTAGGAACCGAGACCACACAGGGTGTGTTCCACAGAACCAGGACTCTCTCCAGGCTAAGAATCTGATTAAACATGTACAGGACCACTTCAATGAGCTGGTCTGCACACTCCCTGAGGACCCTGGGGCTGATGTGATCAGGGCATGTGGCCTTCCTGGCCTTAATCCTCCTTAACTCCCTCCTGACCTGGTCTGCCATGAGACTGAGGGGGCTGGTGGGCTGGTCATGAGCTGTGGGCTGTTGAGAACCCTCTGTGACAGTGGGAGGAGGGGCAAGGTACAGCTGAGGTGTGAGCAGCTGCAGCTGCAAGGAGATGACTGACCTGGAGAGGTGAATCAGGGGGGCTGGCAGGGTGGGGGCTAAGGACTAGATAGAGTCAAATCTTTTAAAAAACAGATTCAGTTAATTTGCCCAGGCCTGGTCCCCCGCAACCTGGTGACCATCCCCACTTTTTCCGTGGCCTGAGATGTGTTTCAGTCCTCTCCACACCTCACGTACATTGTTCTTTTCCATGCTCTGCTCCAGCTTCTTCCTGTAGCTAGCCTTGCACCTCTGAATCATGTACTTTAGTTCCCGCTGCACTCTGCTCAGCTCCTCCTTCTCCCCTGAGAAGAAAACCCTCTTCCTCTCATTCAGCAGTGCCTTTAACTCAGGGCTCACCCACGGCTTGTTATTGGGAAAACACTGTACTCTCCTGGATGGCACGGTATATTCCACACAGAAATGTATGTAATCCGAAATACAGTGTGTGAGGCTGTCTATGTCCTCTCCATGAGGACTACAGAGGATGTCCCAGTCGGTGGTAAAACAGTCTCTCAGCCGCTCAATTGACTCCTCTGTCCATACCCTCACTACTCTGACCTGTGGTGACACCTTTTTCACCACTGGAGTATACACACAGGAAGCAGGTGAACAAGGTTGTGGTCAGAGTGACCTAGAGGGGGGAGGGGGGTGGAAGTGTATGCATTCCTGGTATTTGCATACAGTAGGTCCAGAGTTTTTTAGTCCCTTGTCAATTAACATACTGGGTGAAGTTTGGGAGGGTGGCAGAGAAGGGGAGAGAAGCATGGTTAAAGTCCCCCGAGATGAGGATTAGAGCCTCAATATTCCCAGTCGTATCGGTTTATCTTTACACCCATAATTGTAATAAGTAGTAACTATTTTCAAAACAAATTTTCAGAGAGACACTGGTCTTTTTTCGAAGAGCATACAGTAACTGTTTACGTAATAATATGCTTTTCCTGTCTTTTCTTTCCTGCATGCTGCAGCCTTTCAAAATATGAACTCCAAGAGGAAAGCAGAAACATGGAAGAAGAACCGGAGGCAATTGGTAAGGCTTGAGGATTTTACTGTTGCTGATATTCCACAGCAATTTAATGAAGGCAAAGAAAGGTTTGATGTCTGGCTCAAGAATAGCCACGGTGGTTTTGAGGTTACCATACATTCATGAATTTATTTATTTTAAACCAGGTACTCTTATAATCCAAATAAAGAGCATCCTTTATGGCAACAAGACTTTTAAGATGTTGTAATATTGAAAAGATGAACACTATGTACATTAATGGTAAGTGGTGGAGGAAATGAAAATTTGTAAATTCTTTAAATTCCAGAGCCGTGACCTTCTGGCTTTATGTGTGACTCTTAGGCATATTCCACTGTGGGAACACCAGATTACATTGCTCCTGAAGTCTTTATGCAGACGGGATACAACAAGCTCTGTGACTGGTGGTCCCTGGGTGTCATCATGTATGAAATGCTCATTGGTAAGCATGCATTTGTATAGATAGATGTGGATGTACAGTGTGAAACTCATTCCACTAAAACCCTAGATTACCTCCAAGGTTTAGAGCATGATGCTGCTTTTAAGTGCGGTAACAAACTGACCCTTAGAATAGCTAGGGCCAACCTTAACTGGGGCGTCAAGCTGCAAAGCGTGCGCACGGACAGAAAATCCAGAGTTGCTTCCATGACACTAGAGATGCCAGGTGCATGTAGTGGTGAATCTGATCCCTCACAGACAAAGTAGGTGTCACCACCATCCTGCAACAACAACACGATTTCCTCAACAACCTCAGAGGTTATTTTGGGCAATTGGAGACCCTGAGGAACATACCAGTGAGAGAAGCCACCCCTCATCATGATAGTCATCTGATGTCCAAAGGACCCTGAATAGAGGTAGACGGAAGCAAGCCGCAGGTCCTGACACTATATCAGGCTGTGTGCTCAGAGAATGTGCTGATACTTTTCATAGACTTCAGATTTCAATGCAATCATCCCCCAACAGCTAGAAAACAAAATCTTAACACGGCTCTCTGTTACAGCATACTGGACTTTTTGATGAATAGACCCTTGTCAAAGCCATCACACTGAGCACTCATGCCCCACAGGGTCTATTACCGTTTACACTGATGACCCCAACACAGCAGAGTTTGCAGACATCATGGTGGTGGTGGGCCTCGACAGTGATGACAGTGAATTGGCTAACAGAGAGGAAGTGAACCAACTGGTGGGCTGGTGCAAAACAACCTATCATTAAATGTTGACAAAGGAAAAGAGATCACTGTCAGCTTCAGGAAGAACTTGGCCTGATCACATAGCTTCTTCCCCTAAGCCAACAGACCTTTGAACTCCTTTAATCATACACATTACACAGTCACACCAATCAGTCACACACTCGCATACTTGTGCATATTGTACAAAAAGACATTTGCACTACCATGACTGCATTTGCTCTACAACTGCTACTAAATGACATGTATGAAATATGTTTTATGTGTTTGTATGGTTGATCTGTATTGATTTTGCATATTGAGCCAGGAGTAAATACAATTGTGTTCAACTTAACACATTGTTTTAACCAATTTACAGTAGATATTTAGAATAGCAGGGTTTTAGTATTGCAGTACCAGCTTTTTCTAAATTCTTGTTGGCTCTGTTCAGGTTATCCGCCCTTCTGCTCTGAGACACCACAGGAGACATACAGGAAGGTGATGAACTGGAAAGAAACCCTCGTATTCCCACCTGAAGTCCCTATCTCAGAGAGAGCCAAAGACCTGATATTAAGGTATGTAACAATGCATTTTTATTGCATTTTAAGATGAATGGTTTAAAAACTCACGTAAAGGCCACATGCCTAGTGTGAATATTTGATTATTTTCTTCTGTCACAACAATGTATATACAAAGGGTTTTTTGGATGGTTAAATTATCAGTGTGCTCTTTGTGTGTTTCAGGTATTGCACTGATGCTGAGAACAGGATTGGAGCTGTGAGTGTGGAGGAGATCAAATGCCATCAGTTCTTTGAGTTGGTGGACTGGGAGCACATCAGGTACAGGAAGCAGTCTTTAACCTTCTTTTGCTAAACCACTACTCTCTGAGTTCTTCCTTCCTACTCATTCCGTCCATGATTCCTTCTGTCTTGCCTCCACAGGGAGCGACCAGCAGCTATCTCTATTGAAATCAAAAGCATTGATGACACCTCCAATTTTGATGACTTCCCTGAATCAGACATCCTACAGCCAGGTTTGCTAAATGAATAAATATTCTGCTGGCTGCACTTCAGGAAATGTCCTCATTAGGAACACAGATTTGGCCAGAGTTTGACAAAGATAAGTTATGAACACTAAATATATTTATGGATTAAAAATAGATTCTCAACAAAAGGGAGGTTGTTGAGCCACAAACAACCAAATTTGAATACTCTTAATGTTATTATGGCTTTAAATACTTGCAGGGGCTGCTTATTTAGATTGCATGGTCCATAACACCCCCAAGTGGCACTTGGAATAAAGAAACTTCTTTTATTTTGTTTTTGTGTCTGTGAACAGCCAATGCAACGGAACCAGACTTCAAGTCAAAGGACTGGGTGTTCCTGAACTACACATACAAACGCTTTGAGGGTCTGACTCAGCGAGGCACCATCCCCACATACATGAAGGCAGGGAAGGCCTGACGCACTCAAATAGGGAGACAGAGCTGTGGAGAAGAAAACCGACATTTACGGACACAGGGTCAGGCCCTAGAGCCCTGCTGGTGCTGAAGGCTGTGCTATCAGCCTCTTGGTCTAAATTTAACCCTCATCACAACTTATTTAGGTTTTCTCAGCCACCACAAGAATGCTAAGAGCTCAGAAAATAAGGAGCATTACCACATTACCTCAGTTGTTTATATCGTATATATGTGCTGTCTATAGCCATAGCCCTCAGGCCAGCTCACTAATGAGGACACTAAATCAGCATATCTGCATGTTCAGCAGCATATTGCTTCTGGGGAAGATTTTCTTACTGCTTAAAGGAAAAGGTGGGACACTGGTGGCTAAACTAGATCTGACATATAAATTTGTGAAAATGAAGATGAAGTCAAACTCTGGATTACTAGTAAGAACAAGAAACCTTTACTTGCTCTTAGTTTTGCTCTGTTCATGGATTTAAAGGAAAGTTCCAGTATGATTTTTTTTTGTGTGTGTGTGTTTTTGCTTCTGCTTCACTTCACAAATTAATCCTACTAAAAATATAGTAGGTGTGAAAATTTTATATGAAATGCATCTTGTTGCATCTTTTCTGCTGGCTTGACTTGCAAGCTCAACATCAGCTATTCTTTATGTCAAAAGAGACAACTGGAGAAAATATTACTGTTTAGTTTTTTTCTTTAAGATAGCAGAACCCAACTGAAAGCTAAATTGGCAATTGGTGGTAGGAATGTTTAGAATGTGTAGGATCAATTGTTGGTATACATGTTTGGCTTATAGAGGCATTTTTAGCCATGCTAGTGGTGTGGCTGGTAGTGGATTGCCATGAAATTTGGTGCAGATATTTATGTCGCCCTTAGAATGAATTGTAATAACTTGATGATCCTCATCATATCATACCACATCTGCTAAACATTAGCATTGTTATCATTACCATTGTATGTATGTTAGCATGCTGATGTTGGTATGTAGCTCAAAGCACAACTGGGCTCCACACAGCTTGCCAGCATGGCCGCAGACTCTTGGGTTATAAAGACATGTAGCAATTCATTTCTATAAAAGTGACTTGGAACTAGTCTGATAGTAATATAATTATTATATTTACCTCTTATTTGTAAAGATAGATAAGGTTGAATTGTGTAGTTGTTTTTTGTGCTAGTTAGAACTGATTGTACCTAAAAAAAAAAAAAAGCTTTATAAGAATTAACATACAAAGGATATAAAACAAACTAGTAAAAATTTGAATCATGCTGGAATTCTCCTTTAACTTTCCTGGTGGTGACACACAATGCAACTTTGAGTCAGTTTAATGGGGCAACTCTTCCTGTGACATTGCTTCAGTTCTATTGCTTTTCTCACACAGAGGAACAACTTGTCGCCACGAAACATGTGAATGCAGTTTACCCTGTACTTGACATCTATTACTGTGGAGCTCTGCCCATTCACATCGACAAACAAACTGCAGAGTGTGTCACTTCCCTTTAGAGCTGATTGTTTTGTTCAGATCAATGCTCTAGTAATTGGTATTTCCCCTAATTTGAATTCTAATTAGTCCAAAGGCCAATCACATTCTTGTTAGATGGACAAAACATGCAAAGTGCCTTTAAACAGCTGATAAATATTTAACCAGATGTTATCAGAGATTAATCAGAAGGGTATTCATTACATAATAGTAATAATAGCGGTGTTTAAGGGAAAAATGCATCAACAGGGAAAAAAATGGAAAGAAAAGGGAAAAATCCTTCTCACCTTACTAGTTCAGGTTTGTAAGTCAACTTGTGAGAATGCATTAATTGTCTCTACAGGCAAACATAAAGCTATGATGTGCCAGTTATATTTAAAGTGAGGTGATAAAACAGCGGTTTTTTACAGGTCAAATAATCAAACAGCAGGCTCATAAAAAACTACTGCATCAAGGCAAAATCAGCGAACACAGTGTCTTTGTTTGTCAGGCAAAGATTAAGATAAAATAGAATCCAAGTAAGAATACACTTATATGGACATACAGTATTAGAAACATCTCTTTGTTTGTCATTGAGGTTTCTAAATTTCTGTGTTCATTATGAATTATGCTTCCACTGGATGAATTTGTCTCATAGCCTCATAAATATCAAATGCAAGATCTGTCTTGCTCAATGAAACAAATTATTTAACTATCACATCTGCTCAGAGTTGTGACTAAACACAGTGCTAAAAATAGTTACCAAAGAATTCTGATCATAACACATTGTGGTCTGCACACGAATTCAGATGTAGCCGTCACTTACTGCACTTAACTTAAAACTACCTTTTAAAATAATATCTTTTCCAAGACAGCTAACCTTAGTTGTGGAATAATTTCTGTTTCTACACAAATAATAATAGTACATTTCATTTATATAACACTTTTCAAGGAAGTCAAAGACACACTTGTCAGAAAATGAGTGTGCAGCAGCACATCTATAAAATGCAAGAAAAGCTATAAAGGTGCATAATGTAATAGGAAATATTCTCACGACTTTACCATAGATTCCGCTGCAGCCATCACAGAATCTCATATTAAATGGGTTGTGATGCTATTTCTGAGAAATAGATGGAGAAAGTCTTGTTGTCTAGAAATGTGAATTTATGTTATGTAAGAATTATACATCTGTTTTCTTACATTTGATCTGTTCAACCTTTATTCACACAGATATTCCTGCT